CTATCTTGGTCTGTACGTTCTTCGTCCATCTTAACTGTGGGCAAAGCTGTAGTCAATTCAATTAAAAGTGCAAGTGCAAAGACGACCATGTAGGAAGGTGCCATGATCTTGGGTAATTTGGTTGACTTAATTGCAGGAACCTGGCTTTGCACTCGCATGTCCACTAAGAATCAGATGTGTGCTTTTATAGTGTCTCATGATGATGAGTTGTCCTTTTCGAGCTATTTTTGAGTATTGATGATGTCCGTTGCTCTCCTTTGGTGAAAAGTCGTTCACCTTTACAAGAGGTGCATGCCCATCCACAGGGAGGATATTGGGAGATGTTTTAAACAAGAAGGATTATATTTTGAATGGTTTTCGTTTTTCTAAAAGAGCCCACTGTGTTTTTGTAAAAGGCCAAATAACATTTGTCAGCATTTCATTGTGAATCTGGAGAAAGGCCATCCCCTTCCAATATAGTGTTTGTACCCCCTGCCATAACTTAGTTTATCGAGCTCATGCAGCAGGTCAAAGGTTTTACATTGAGGTCACATTTTGTCTGAGCAGTGGTAATGATACATTGCAAATGTTTACAATATGAAAGGAATGAGCCTCAAAGAAGGAAATATACCTGTTGTGAGATGTCATCATCCATCAGATGACTCCAATTCCCTTGGTGCCGTCTCCTCATGGTATCGTCCATTATCTTCTTGTTCTTTTTTTGTTTGTAGGTCAGAGCTGGATTATTAGTAATTTCAATAGACCAGGGGTGCCCAATCTTCTTCTTGAAGATTTACCTACCTGCAGAGTTCAGTTCTACCCCGCTCCAACACACTGTTCTGTAATTACCAAGTGCTCCTGAAGGTCACAAAATCTGCGAGGGAAATGGCAAATATTGAAATTACAGGGCTTCGCCTGTTAAATTTTGCAGAGTGGTAAATGTGTCTGGTAATCTTTTTAACGGATTCATTAAAATTAACCAATTCATAAGAGTCATTTGCTTGCAGATAAATAATATGGGCTCACATGAAATACTGGTGCACACTCTCAAGATGACTCCTAGATGATATCTGACAAACCCGCATTACGCACAGTTTTTTTTCTGTTTTAAGTTTTTGTACTAGTCACAGCCTGAGTCCTGTAGGGTACTTCATAAGAAATCAGAAGTGTGTTCGCATTGCAAGAAGAAATGGGACATGAATAATAGTTATTGAACTCAGCTGAAGTGATTTTACTTGGAACACTCAGCCTTTATTTAGTGAGTATTTGTGTTGAAGTGAGAGAGCCTCTACTGAAGGACTCGGCTGGTCCATGGACACACGACTGTTCCAGCAAGAGCACAACTGAACTTCAGAGTTTGACGCTCTGTTATTGTAACCTCTCTTTCTATGTTGCCACTCTGCTTTCTGACATGTTTCACCCTCCATAGTGACCTCTTCCCACCTTTGATTACCCTCACCACAATAATCTAAAGTTCTTATGTGCAATTTCAAACTAACATTCATAGATTCCCTTTCAAGGCTCAATTGCCACCATGATGAAACACTTGGAGTGCATTTGTGGTCTACATTTACATTTATATTTACATTTAGTCATTTAGCTGATGCTTTTATCCAAAGCGACTTACAAATGAGGACAACTGAAGCAATCAAAATCAACAAAAGAGCAATGAAATGCAAGTGCTATAACAAGTGTCAGGTATCTTAACGCATTACACGTAGCAAGGTTTTTTTTTTTTATTATATAATAACTAAAAATAATAACAGATAGAATAGAGCAAGCTAATGTTAGATACCTTTTTTGCTTTTGATAATTGTATAATAAATAAAAAGAAAACAAATAGAATACAAAAAGATTAGAAAAGCTAGTGTTATTTTTTTATATATATATATAGAATTAGAATAGAGGGTGCTAGAGTTAGAGGGTCGAAAAAAGATGGAAGAGATGTGTTTTAGCCAATTCTTGAAGATGGCTAAGGACTCAGCTGCTCGGATTGAGTTGGGCAGGTCATTCCACCAGGAGGGAACATTTCATGTAAAAGTCTGTGAAAATGATTTTGTGCCTCTTTGGGATGGCACAATAAAGCGACGTTCACTTGCTGAACGCAAGCTTCTAGAGGGCACATAAGTCTGAAGTAATGAATTTAGGTAAAGGGGTGTAGAGCCAGTGGTGGTTTTGTAGGCAAACATTAATGCCTCGAAATTTATGCGAGCAGCTATTGGTAGCCAGTGCAAA